GATGTATGTATGTGCACGGTGTGGGTGAATGTGTCCCAAGATGTATGTATGTGCACGGTGTGGGTGAATGTGTCCGTGGAGGATATGAGTGCATTGGATCTTCTGGATATGGAGTTACAGCTGGTTGTGAGTTGCTCTTTGGCTGCTGGGAATTAAACTCGGGTCCTCTGCAAGAGCACCAAGTGCTTTTTTTTTTTTTTTTTTTTTTTTTTTGTTTTTCAAGACAGGGTTTCTCTGTGTAGCCCTGGCTGTCCTGGGACTCACTCTGTAGACCAGGCTGGCCTCGAACTCAGAAATCTGCCTGCCTCTGCCTCCCAAGTGCTGGGATTAAAGGCATGGGCCACCACTGCCGGGCTCACCAAGTGCTCTTAACTACTGAGCCATTCCTCCAGCCCCAGAATGGATTTTTAAAAATGTATTTTAATTGAAATGCTAACAAATTTCTAATTACATTCCCTCCCCCAAACTACAAACTGAGTTTGTAGTTGAGATTTAAAACTGAGAAAATTTTTTAAAAATTTTAAAAAAAGTCCTCAGGTCCTTGCAACACAGGAGCTAACCAATAGCAGCCACACCACTTGACTCTCTAGGAAGGCTGTCCAGCTGCCTGAGACCTGACCCACAACCTAACTCCTTCCCTTGGAACATTAATTTCGAGGTGCTTTTTTCAATTCATAGATAAAGATCATATTATACTAATTCTACCTCAGAAAATTCAGCAAGCTATTTGAATTACAACGTCAGCCTTTAATAGCACAGTAAATTAGAGGGTCAATCAACTAAATCATTTTACAAGAAGAAAAGAGGAGAAAACCCTAAATTTTCTAATTATATCCCTAATTAAGAACAAAGGAACTTTAACTCACACCAGAAGAAACTGAGTCATGGGTATGGAATCTGCTCTCCAGCTACATACGTGTTCTGCTAGTTCCATGGACTCAGGCTCGTCTCTGTCTGGCTAGTGCTAACGTTACATAAGCAGCAATGCAGCTGGAAGAGTCCCACAGCGTCCGGCACATGCCACTTCTCTCCAGACCACTGCTTCTCGGTGCAGCCAGGCCTCCTCCTGTTCAGTGGAGCCATTCCTCACTGTAACGGTTGTGCACCTCTGGGGAGTTTTCCTTCTAAGTGTTAGCAACGGTCCAGCATCTGGTTTGCAGCCAGAATAAATCTGAAGAATATTCCCAAACTTGGTCCCAAACTGGAACGTCATCTGTTCACTTTTCTTTGTCCTCATCACGCTCGGGAGGAGAGTCCTCCTTGTGGCTGGGATACCACTGAAGACTGCAGCATTAACACTGTTGGAGGAACTTGGTCATCATCCCCATTGGCATCCATTCCCAGATCTTCCAGTATGTGCTTGATAGTCATGGATTGTTTTTCCAATTTGTAAGTGGACTTCCAATCTCTATCAGAACTCTGTGACATGAGTCAAGACACCGTGTTAGGAACAAAGACAGCAGACAAAGAGGCCCATGTGAGGGAGGGAGGCGGTTACACAAGGTCACTACAGAATGGAATTTTGCACAGAACTACTTACTATGAGAGTTGGGTTCTTGCTTTGACACACCTCCCACAAGGCTTAGCTGTGCTTGGCTGGTTCTTCCAGCTTCCAGACCTTGTGTTGCTTAGCTTGCAGACCTTAGTCCACGCTCACTGAGCTAAAACCCAGCTTGGAGTTTCCTCAGTTTCCCAAGGACATCATTCCAGCTGGCAGAGCTGAAGCTCCGGGATGGCCTGGAACAGAGGGACGCTGCCAGTAGAGACTCCTTGACTTAAAATTATGAGAACAGAACAATCAGAGTGGAAACAAAGGTTCCAACAAGGGAGATACAGGGGCCATGCTTGAACGTGTCTTTTCTCAGGCAGCAACATTAGCAAGATGCTGCCCTACAGACAGACTTGTCTGGGAAGGGTGATGTACACTGTATTGTTAGTGGTCATGTGCTGTTTTAACTCACTAAGAAGCTGGTTCTGGAACCAGAGATGCCCTCGTGCCACTTCAGACTCAAGACCCCTTCTGTAAGGATGGGTCAGGGTTCCTCTGTAACAGGGAAGGAAGAGAACTGCAGAACAGCACAAGAGTAAAGACAGGAAACCATAGCAGTAAATGGACTACTATTATTTATCCTGGTTTATAAAAGCCGCCACAACGGGCACACACAAAGTAAAAAATTGAACTATGACATTGAATAAAACAAAACTTTATTTAACCAAAGGATTCTTCCTGGAACTGGCTTGTTTTTGTAATCAGAGATAAGCAAGGGGAGGGGGCATAGAGCCCAGGTAACTCGGGTGAGACAGGTGAGACGAAGCAAGAAGCTGAGCCCCAGGGAGCAGTTCCTGCCCTCTGGCCTGGGCTCTGCTGCTTTGAAGGCCAAGAGATCTTCCTCACTTGACTTCATGAGCTGGAGAATCCAAATGGCCCAGGCCTAGAATGGTCACTGAGGTCCTGGGCCGCAGGCATCCGCACATCCGATGATGGAAACTTAAAGACACATCCTAACCATTCCATGATTGAAGCATAAACTCCAATTGGTGAGGTGCTAACTCATCTCCAGCTGAGGAGACTGAAACCACACCTTTTCTCAGCTCCATGCTATATTCCAACAATGGAAATAGACATCTGTGGTCAATGTACAGCATGCGCTCTCTGATCCAGGCCAGTGTGCAGCACCAACATGTCTGTGATGCATCAGTGCCAACCAGAGGAAAAAGTCCTGCTGTGGTTTAGACCAAAGGAGTTCAATTTTGATTTCTCTACTTCTCTCCCTGGGTCTTCTGTGTGTCTCTGTTGCTCCTTTCTTAACAAGGGGCTTTGTTCTGAATTTATCAAACAGCAAAGAAAACATTGTACAGGAAAGGAATTGCCTAAATAAACAATTTTACTAGCACTTACAAGGAAAGAATTTGCTGAAACCTACTGAATCCAAAACAGTATTCAAAACCACATGACAAGAAACTATGGAATCCACTGAAACCTACTGAATCCAAAACAGTATTCAAAATCAACATGACAAGAAACTATGGAATCCACTGAGCTCTGTATTTGTCAAGGTCAACCTAAAAATGGCTGCATTGTTTGCGGCAAAACAATCACATGGTGCATCACATAGTTGAAGATAAGAAAATGAGTAAGACCTGTCTGGCATGCAGACAGCCAATTAAATAATCCGCTAACTCATTTCAACAAGCTTACCTACTCACAAATTTTACCTTTTCTTTTTTTGAGACAGGGTTTCTACACCACCTGGATATTTTTACTTTTCAAATTATACCCTAACATTGAGACAGCATGAATTTTAATTGTTTTTACATGCCGGGCAGTGGTGGCGCATGCCTTTAATCCCAGCACTTGGGAGGCAGAGACAGGCAGGTTTCTGAGTTCAAGACCAGACAGGACTACACAGAGAAACTCTGTCTGGAAAAAAAAAAAGTTTTTACATACATCAAAGCAAGAAAGTATCTCAGTCCACGTAAATGTCTTTTCATATAATTTTACCCATTCTGGAAGTTGGAAATAGTGACTATTTTCACTTAGGAAATTTTTACTTCTTGAGATATATATATATAAATTTTTTTTTTTTTTGGTTTGGTTTTTCGAGACAGGTTTTCTCTGTGTAGCCCTGGCTGTCCTGGACTTACTCTGTAGACCAGGCTGGCCTCGAACTCTCAAACTCAGAAATCCACCTGCCTCTGCCTCCCAAGTGCTGGGATTAAAGGCATGCGCCACCAGTGCCCGGCTGGTACTTTTTATGTAAAGAGTAAAAGAATGTGTGAAAGGTTTCTGTAGACAACATCCCATGTGTCCCAGGCAAGCTTTGAACTCTCTATTCGGG